TAAACATTATGAATTGCTTTAATAGATGGATGAAGACAAGGAAAAGACAGGCTTTGGATGGCAGGAATATTATCATCTAAATATATTAGACGTATTTTGTTATGTATTCTCCAACGAAAGCAGGGAAGAGAACTGAAGAGAATAATTTCCTATTGGCTCAAATAAGCTACAAACTTTAGGCATTAATTTAGTTTGACAAAGAGGCTATTAGTGGCTGTAAATATGCAATCTAAGGCCAGGTTTGCATTGCATTAACTTGATTTTGTAGAAGTCTTTATTTTTATTTATTTTTTTTTTTTTTTTTTTTTGACAAGGTAAATGTCTTTAATTTATTGGCTTGGCTTCAAGTCAAATTTAATAGCCAGTGGTTTTCATAAATAGGCAATGCAAACTATTGACTCAAAATGCATGATTGATTTTAATGACTTAAACAGGTCAAGTGAACCAGTCAACAATAAATCAATATATTAAATAAAGCGTATGTAATATATCAGAGAGAAATTCTGGTGTGTAAATGGATGGATTACGTATGACACCTAACATTTTACGTGTGTAATATTTTTAAATCACTCTTTTCCATATAAAAAGTTACTTCAAACACGATTTGTATCCTATACCGTCATTGTTTCGAATTGACATAGACGATCACTTTATCTCCAAAACAAGGGGAGTTTGCAGTGGGCCAGAGCTGAAGATATGAACCCCATGAGCTAAAGATTCGTACAAGATGTTACAAATTGAACTAACTAATTTTTATTGAAAACAACTAATACCGACCATTCCAGTTGCCAGCTTCATTACTTCATTTGGATATTTGAACATTTTTTTTGGTGGACATTTTTTTTTCTTTATTCAAAATCATGCAAATATTTATGGATGGCAATCACGACTTAATTTTCAATTATAAAGCATCCCTTTCAAGAACAAAATATATAGATTTTTAACTTGAATACTTAATTGATTGATATTTGATTAGGTCGAATAAAGCAGAAAGTTATGAATTTAATAACAACTGAAAGTAATTCATTAGCAGCACGTAGAGCAGACATCTTAGCTACCTGAATGTATCATTATCATTACATACGTCGTCAATATGATCAACAAAAACTCTATGATTCCATTCCAACACGCACATTAGGCTATCCCAGACACACACACACATAAATTATTAATTTATACTAGTGTGTAGATCAGGGCCGGCTATTATTTTTTTTTACTATTATTTTTTTTCGGTGATATCCTAATTTTCCGTTTTTTTTTTAATTTTTTTTATTTATTTGGTGTTTTGATAAATGTTTTTATTTTGTTAATGGCCTTTGATAATTTTAATCTCTGACTTAGTTTTTTTTTTAAATTTTTTTTTGCTGTTTATACCCTTTAATAATTTTCACCTATTTAGCTGTATTATTTTAAATTTTAAGTGGATAAAAATGTAGCAATCAAAACTTCATATTTTTTTTATAGCAAAGGGCCCCCAAAAACTTTAAGACGGCCCTGGTGTAGATTAGTAATTGAAAAGTAGGGGATGTATCATGTATGTAAAATAAGAGGCTAAGGATATAATTTATTGGAGTCTTAAATCCAAAAGTCAAAATTTTTTTGATGACATAGACCTTTTTTTTTTAATGCAATAGTTTGATCAACATTTTTTAGGAGACATAACTTTGACCATCAATATCCTTATTTAATTATTATTAATAATTATAAAATTGATATTATGAAATCTTACATCGTTACTAATCCAACAACATATTACGTAATAGCATGTGATTTTTATATATTAGTGAAAAATCAAGTCAAAATTGACACGACATATTTAAATAGTGCAAAAGTCAAACGAGAGAGTAACTATTTAATTGATTAGGGAAGATAGCTTAACAAATTCAATAAGAACTAAACTATAATTTTAAAAAACTAAATTATCTAATTAGTCCTTAAAAAAAATGTTATGGGTATAATGGTGCCTATTTGATTTCAAAATACCCATATTGTTTGTTTGGACTTAGTGCTTGTTTGGTTCAACATGGGAAATAAATTCCCACATAAAATCATATATCATGGGAGGTTTTTTCCCTTACGAATTGCATATGTAAAATTGTTTGGTTGACATCATTGGAATTAGTATATCTTAGGAAATAACTTCCTATGTATTAATGTATAGTATGAATTCACTCACCTGAGGGGGAGTGAGCTTGATGAGTTATCTTCTATGCTGTGAAAATTTACATTTCCCTTGAAAATTTCATTTTCTATGAGCAAATCAGAAGTGGCTTAATGGGCTTTAGTGAAAGTCAAATTTCATATCCCTGAATCACTACAGTAACACATGGGTTTGTTGATAAAATTAGAAGTGGCTTAATGGGCTTTAATGAAAGTCAAATTTTGGGCCAATTGTACTTAAAAGGTAGTATCATTTGTTGGTCCAAAATTTCAACCCAAATAAACCTTTTCACTTTACAAACAGAAATTATTTTTGCCCATTTAAATACAAAGTAGAAATGAACAAAGCTATTCCTTCAAAAAAAATAATTTTATGAACAAAGCCATATTTTTATATCAATAACTCTTAGTACAAATTTTGCTCATTGAGCAAATTTTACAACCGATTGTGCATTGCTAGATACAATCGGATGTATGTTACATATGTTTTTAAATTTACTCTTATATACAATGAAGTTAACTTTTCTTTTCTTACATCAAATTTATCTATAAAAAAAACACTTATAATATATAAAATTAATCACATTAACCTTGATAACATTTATTCATTAGAAAATACCAATTAAATTACAATAAAAGTCAATACAAGTTAAAACTTAATGTTAAATGGGTTGAAGTTACCATAAAGCATATCAAAGTTGCCCTACAGCTAAAAACCTGGTTATTGGGCGGGTCAGTGAGAATCGGGTTAAAAAGGGTCATATTTTATAGGGTCACTAGCGGGTTGATAATGGGCTTACTAACAAACTATCAATTAAAATAAATATTGGACAAAGTCATAATTAAGTAAATATGTATACGAAAATAAGTATGCAATTTTTTTTTACATTATCTATTTTCTTTGTGCATTAAATTGGACAAATATTTTGGCCCTATATTGACCCTATCCGATAAGGGCCCAATAAGCTTAGCCCTAACCCTATTATCGTTGAGCTACCCTGTTCAATAACCAAGTCTACCTACATGTAACTATCTTTCAATAACATTAATGAAAGTCCGCTTTAAATAATATTTTTTGTAAAATAAATTGGTGATGCAAAAAGGAACACACAGAATACTAACACTCATACATATTATGGAAGTAGTGCAAAGATCATAGGAGTAAGCAATGCATCCCATCAATTCAAATATGATAAAGAAGATGATGGGTTGATAGATACTCTACAACAGTACAACGTACGTAAATTTAACGACTTAAAAACAATTCATTATTCATATAATAAAGTCACAGATAGTATATCATATCAGTAATAATTCAACATTACTTCAAACACATGTTTAAACATGAAACATCATCATTCATGAATTTCCTTGGCAACCGTACCCAACATCCTTATTTTGATTCGAAATTGTTCGTATTTTGGACTCGTTTTTCTTCTTCGTCGCGGCACCGTGGCGTGGCTGCGTTCAAGCTGCGCGTGCAAGGGTTACGCGGCAGTCAGTGAGCGTTGGCTGGTTGCGGTGGCTCAGGCGTCTTCAGGCGTCGACGTTGGTGGCTGGAATTTTGTTCTTATTGGCTGCTGCTGCGTTGGCTGGAATTCTTTCTGGCTGACGTGGCAGCATGTATTAAATTTTTTTTTTTAAAAGATAATCAGTTTTTAATTTAAAAGATATTATTCAATTTTATTTTATCTTTAATTTCGAATTTGAGATAAAATAGGAAATTTGTTTAAGTTATTTAGATATTTTTGAGCAAAATTCCAATTTTGAGTTATTATTCCAATTATGCAAATTATATATTAATAATGATTAATTCCATATATAAGTTCTAATTGAATTTAAAACAAAGGAGTTTGATTATGTGAATCAATATTGTATGTTATTTTAGTAAAATGTTTATATTGAATGTTGATTGATATAATCTTGTTTACTAAAATAAGTTGATTGCATGTTTAATATATATTTGATATTATGAATTGCATGCTGTGACTAGTATGGCCCAAATTAAGATAGAAAATACGATATACGTATTGTTACGTATTTTTGTAATCTTAAATACGATTTGCGTATCGTTATGTATTTTTGTAATTTTAAATAGTTTATTTAAATTTTTCATATTAAGTAAGTTATGATTGGAGAATCAAGAATGGAGATTCGAGCTTGCTATGAAATCCAGATGAATTGAGGATGGTGATCCAAGATGAATCAAAGAAGAAGGCCCAAGTAAATTAGATTTTAAAGGGTTAGGGGCCATACTAGATCACATTTAATTTTATTGCATTTTATTTATGTTTTAAAAATGTCTTCTTTAAGTTTATGAATGTTGCTTGTTTGTTAATGAGTTCACTTTAAATAACCAACATTATATAACTTAAGTCCCTAAAAGAATATTGAGCTAATTGTCTTTCCAATTCAACACCTATGAGGCCTTGTGAATTATGTGGTGGGTTTGCCCAAGCAAAGCATCATTTTAAGTCATAGGATAGTATGGGTAATTTTATGAAGGGAATTACATATTGTTTTGGTTATGCTCAACTAAGTTATCAAAAAGCAAAGTTTTGGACTTAGAGACAATGAGATAAGTTTAAAACATAAGATGACACTTATCGACCAAGAATTATAATTGTTATAATTAGTAAAGATGTTACTTACCTGGATCATTTAACTTGAGGGCAGGGCCCAAGTCCGCTTAAATTACTTGTGAAAGGATCTTGGAATCATTATTTTATATAGGGACACTTTTAAATAAAATAATGAGTAATAGCTTATGATTTTTGAATTTTAGCTATTTATTAAAAACATAATATTAATTCTTGCATTTTTCCTAATATGTAGATACCATGTCTCGTAACAATGATTCGTTTAATTTGCGTTCAATCCTTGAGAAGGATAAGTTGAACAACAACAACTTCCTCGATTGGGAAAGAAACTTGAGAATTGTTCTCAAAAGTGAAGGAATGGAGGATGTCCTTAATACCGAAATCCCAGTTCTAGCTGAAAATGCAACACAAGCTCAAAAAGCTAATGAGAAACGTATTCGTGAAAGGTCTATGCCAATTACTTGTCTCATGTTGGCAATGATGGAACCAAATCTTCAAAAGAGGTTTGAGACTATGGATGCTTATTCCATCATCCAAAACTTGAGATCTATGTTTCAAGAATTGGCAAGTCAAGAGAGGTATATAACAGCAAAACAGTTGCTTGATATAAAACTCTTGCCTGGGCAAAAGCTTCATGATCACATGTTCAAAATGATCGGTCTTTTTGAAAATTTAAGACGACTTGGAGTCAATTATGGCGAAGAGTTCGCTAATGATATAGTGCTTTGCTCTCTTCATGATGGATACAAAGAATTCCGTCTTCACTACTAACTAGTGTGAAGAAGACCTTACATGAATTGCATGGGATGCTTAAAATAGCTGAATAGAACATTAGAGTTGTTGAACCAAAGAAGGATGTTCTTATGGTTAACAAAGGGAAAGGTTTTAAGAAGAAATGGGGTGGAAAGAAGAAGGAGGTAGTTGGCAAAGGAAAAGAGAAACAAGTTTCCAAAACTAAGCCAAAACCCTCTTCTAAGAAGCAAAAGGTTGCTGCTGAACACACGTGCTTCTACTGCAATGCGATTGGGCATTGGAAGCGCAACTGCCTTAAATACTTGGAAGATAAGAAGAATGGTTGTGTTGCATCTTCTTCAGGTATTTATGTTATAGAAGTTAATTTAGCTAGTCTTTCATCTTGGGTATTAGATACCGGATGTGGTTCTCACATAATATCTGATGTGCAGGAACTAAAAAGAACTAGGCAATTGGCAAAAGGAGAGGTAGATCTGTGAGTTGGCAATGGAGCTAGGATTCCTGCTTTAGCTGTTGGATCTTATAGTCTATCTCTCCCTTATGGTTTAATATTAGAACTAAATAATTGTTATTATGTTCCAGCAATAACCAAAATCATCATTTCAGTTTCATGTTTGGATTCTGAAGGTTTTTCATTTATAATAAAGAATAATAGTTGTTCTGTTTATTTAAATGAGATGTTTTATGCCACTGCAAAATTAATTAATGGTTTATACATACTGGATTTAGACAACCATGTCTATAACATAAACACTAAAAGGCAAAAATCAAATGATTTAAATCCCACATATCTCTGGCATTGTTGTCTAGGACATATTGGTCCAAAACGTGTTAAAAAGCTCCATACAAATGGACTTCTCACATCATTTGATTATGAATTATTTGATGTATGCGAACCATGTTTGATTGGTAAGATGACAAAATCACCTTTTATAGGAAAAGAAGAAAGAGCTGGTGAGCTATTAGGCCTAATACATACAGATGTATGTGGACCAATTAATACTAATGCTAGAGGTGGCTACAGTTACTTCATTAATTTTACCGACGATTTAAGTAGATATGGTTATGTTTACTTGATGACGCAGAAGTCAGAATCGTTTGAAAAGTTCAGACAATTTCAGAATGAGGTTGAAAATCAACTTGGCAAGAAAGTTAAGGCATTACAATCTGATCGTGGTAGTGAGTACTTGAGTCAAGAGTTTGATAATCATCTTAAGGGTTGCGGAATAGTTTCCGAACTAACTCCTCCAGGCACACCACAATTGATTGGTGTATCTGAAAGGAAGAATCGTACTTTATTAGATATGGTATGCTCCATGATGAGTTTTGCTGATCTTCCAATATCCTTCTGGGGATATGCTCTCAAAACTGCTGCTTTTATACTAAATAGATGTCCATCAAAAGCTGTGGAGAAGACACCATATGAGATGCGGACTAGGAAAGTCCCAAAGTTTTCTAAGATTTGTGGTTGTGAAGCTTATGTAAAACGTTTACAATCTGATAAGCTTGCACCTAAATCCGATAAATGTTTCTTTGTGGGTTATCCAAAAGAAACAAGGTGCTACTATTTCTACAACCAAACAGAGCAAAAAGTGTTTGTTGCTCGAAATGGTGTCTTTTTGAAAAAAGAATTTGTTTCCAAAAAGCCAAGTGGGAGAAATATAACTCTCGAAGAAATTCGAGATGAGCAACAAATGGACGTGGTTTACACCATGTTAGAGATGACCCGACAAGATGAAAGTCAAGTTCAGGAGATGACGCATTCAACGCATGAAACTCCTACTGTCCCACTCGAATTTGATTCATGCGAACATTCACAAACAGTTGTAAATGATTCTTCTGTTGTTGTAGCTCCACGTAGGCCTGATAGGCCAAGAGCTCTGTCTAGGAAATACGTTGATTTCTTGATGACAGAGAGCTTAGAGCTTTTACTCTTAGAATGTGAAGAGCCTACCACCTATAAGCAAGCTATGATGAGTCAAGACTCCGAAAAATGGCATGAAGCCATGAAATCCGAGATGGAATCCATGTCTGAAAATCAAGTTTGGAATTTGGTTGATTTGCCGAACGGGGTAACACCTATATGCATATGGGTTTTTAAGTTGAAAACAGACAAGGATGGGAACTTAATTGTTCATAAAGAAAGACTAGTTGCAAAAGGTTTCAAGCAGATTCATGGTATTGACTATGATGAAACTTTTTCGCCAGTAGCCATGCTTAAATCTATCCGAATACTCTTAGCCATTGCAGCTCATTATGATTATGAGATTTGGCAAATGGATGTGAAAACTGCCTTTTTGAATGGTTATTTGCAAGAGGATGTGTACGTGACACAACCAGAGGGTTTTGTCGATCCTGAAAATCCTAGTAAGGTATGCTAGCTTCCAAAATCCATTTATGGATTGAAGCAAGCATCTCGGAGTTGGAATCTTCGATTTGACGAGGCTATCAAACAGTTTGGTTTTCTCAAAAATGAAGAAGAAGCCCGTGTGTATAAGAAATTTAGTGGGAGCAGTGTAGTCTTTTTGGTCTTGTATGTGGACGACATACTTCTCAATGGAAACAATGTTCCTATGCTACAATCTGTAAAGGTTTGGCTAGGAAAGTGTTTTTCTATGAAAGACCTAGGAGATGCAGAGTACATTTTAGGGATCAAAATCAATAGGGATAGGTCCAAAAGGAAGCTAGGTCTAAGCCAAGGTACTTATATTGATAAGGTCCTAAGCGGGGTTAGAATGGAAAACTCTAAGAAAGGTTTTCTACCTATGCGACATGGCATCGTACTTAGTAAGACTTAGAGTCCGTCTAACTCTGATGAACTAAAACAGATGAGTTCGGTTCCTTATGTTTTGGCCATAGGATCCATCATGTATGCTATGGTCTGTACTCGCCCAGATGTCTCGTATGCTCTGAGCATGTGTAGCAGATTCCAATCAAATCCAGGCATGACGCCCTAGAATGCTACTAAGAACATCCTAAAGTACTTAAGAAGGACAAGGGATGACTTTCTAGTATATGGAGGTGAAAATGAGTTAGTTGTTAAAGGTTATCTGATGAGCTTCCAAACCTACAGAGATGATTACCGCTCACAATCAGGGTACATCTTTTGTCTTAATGGAGGAGCAGTAAGCTGCAAGAGTTCCAAACAAAGCACAGTAGCAGACTTTACAACGGAATCAGAATATTTAGCAGCAGCTGAAGCAGCTAAAGAAGCTGTTTGAATAAAGAAGTTCTTGACGGAATTAGGCATTGTGCCTAGTGCTCTGGAGGGAATTGAGTTGTATTGTGATAACAATGGGGCTATTGCACAAGCAAAAGAACCAAGATCAAATGACAAGTCCAAACATGTAATGAGAAAATATCACCTCATTCGCGAGATTGTAGACAGGAAAGATGTCAGGATCTGCAAAGTACATACAGATGCGAACATTGCTAATCCATTGACTAAACCTCTATCACAGCCTATACATGATAGCCATACAAGGGCTATGGGAATTAGGCACATTGGAGAATGGTTGTGATTATGTAATAGTTTTAAAATGGTTGTTTTTTAGTATTATGCTTCTTGATATTATGTTTATAAAATAAATATTTCAAGTTCTATTGTTTAATTATGGTTTAGTATTAAATAAAATGTCCAAAGTAATTTACAATTTTCAATAGGTTCATCAAATGCGTGAATTAGACATTAGTATGGATAAACATAGAGATGTTATCATACTATCAAATTAAACATTAAGTGACTTAAGGTATTTTAACATTGCACACTTTCCTTCGGACAAGTGGGAGATTGAAGGAGTTGTGTCCTCAGTCGTTTGTACAATTACTAAATATATATTAGGATTAATTATGGAGATAAATAATTTAGTCATTTTAGGTGGTCATAGCGTTTTGCTAGAAACCAACTATGATCTGTGGGTTTATTATGAAGCCCATTACTAATTTGACTGAATTCTAGGAGGTCACACAATAAAGTATTGGTTTGGATCAAAATCTATTAAGGCCCAATAGTGGGCCTTGATGGCAGATTATTTGTGATTAGGGTTTTACTTTTATATGTGGTTGACTTATAAAAGTAAGTTTGACAACCCTAATTGAAACACTGTTATTTTCTGCCTCCTCCCATCAAAAGTAAGAAGAGTGTTACATTCATTCCTCTTCCGTACTAGCATACGTGGGGATCCAATCCGTGCTTGTAGACTGATTAGAGGAGCAACACTTGGGGCTCAAGATCTTCGCGGTAGAAAGAAAACAAGGAATTCACGCATCAAAGGTTGTAATTCCTAACCTTATTATTGATACTTATTATTATATGCATATGATCCCGTTTAGATGTTAAGAATATGATTCTTGAAATTCCGCTAAGCACATCTAAAATCCTTACACAAGGTCATTTATTTGGATCTAGGTCAATAAGTTTACTTAATAAAAACTTAGTAGCATTATTAAAACAATATACGTATTAATTAAAATTTAACACTACTAGAAAACAGGCCATTTTCAACGGAAAAATTCCGTCGAAATCACCCTGAATTTCGTCGGAAAACCCGTTTCCGAAAGAATTCCGTCGAAATCGATTGTCGGAAAACCTTTTGTAGGAAAATGACCTTTGCTTAACCTTAACCCACATCCCCTCCCCACCACCCTAACCCTAACCCGTATCCCCTCCCCACCACCCAAATACCACCACTGAAACCACCACCTACCTCGCTAGATCTTTAAACCACCACCACCCACCTCTCCATTCCACACCCTCCTAAACCACCACCGAAACCACCCAAAACCACCACCGATACCATCCATAAAAACATAAAAAAAATTTCGTCCAAAACCCGAATCTACCCACCACAACCTCGCTAACCCAGCCACCAAAATCCGAACTCCAACATCCACCACCACCACCATAAATTTTCAAAAAAAAAAAATCGAAAAAACAACAAAATTAATTAAAAAAAATATATACCTTAATTCGACCACACAAAACCTCGAAATTGGGTTTACGAGGCCAAATTCGATCA